GAATTGTTTGTTTACAAAAATGCCCTCAAAACTAGTTCACACTCTAACTTTTTAAAAGAAATATATGTTGAGAAATATTTTTATATGAAAAAGTTTACAAAAAATTATTTGATTTGTCTACTATTGTAAAATAAAATTAAATATTTATTTATAGAAAAGAAAATATGCTAAGTATTTATTTATTTACTAGGGATATAATTTTATTTCTCACTATTTGGATTATTTTGAACTTGCATTAATATACTAACTAGCATATTTTAATCAAACATAAATTTTGAAGGACAATTTTGTCTTTAACTAAGCTAATGCATGCATTAAAACTCATTGCATTGCTAATACCATTGTTTTCTATGCATTAGTTATGCATAGGATAATACCAAATAGGATGTATAACTAATGCTTGTATAACTAATGTGTAGGTTCAAAATGTGTACCAAACAATGTATTACTAATACACAAAGCTAATGCATGCATTATTTTATCTAATATATCCTACCAAACCACCCCTTAGTGTATTACCCTTCTTTAATGGCACTTAGCATGGTAGTCAAGCAGAATTCTTTCACCTTCTCCGTGAAAGACTGAAGAACATACATCAAATCTTGNTGTACCTATATCAATGAGTATATAATTTTAAAAAATTACGTAAATATTATTAAATAATATATTTAAGTTATTGAATAAAAATTTAAAAAATAATTTATTTATTTTACATTCGGGATTCGTGCCTTTACAATGATATAGAAAATAGAGATACTTTTTTAAACTCCTTCTAACTCGAATAACATCTTTTTCTCTTCATCGATGTTTTCGCATAATATTTAAATATTATATTTAATTATTAGTAAATAGTTAATTAAGTACATGCATCTTAATTTAGTAGTAAGAATATGTAGTATCCTCCCCTTAGAATTATAAGTTCAAACATATTTCATATAGAAGTTGGCGTAAACAAATATAATAAAAAGACAATGTAATAATGTTATTTCTCCCAAACAATATTTATGTTAAGACAATGTAATATTGTTATTTCTCCCAAACAATATAAATAAATGATAATAGATCTTTGTGGTCCGGCCCTTATCTGGATCCCGTGCATATGAGAAGTTTAGTGCACCGAGCTTTCTTTAATATTTATATTAAAGTCCTAAATAGTAGGGCTTCCTACATAATTCAAAACAAGAAATATTTTATAACCAAATTAGTTGATTTCAAAATACTGTATATTACGATAATAACTAAATTACGATTTTGTCTAATGTGAAGTTTAATTTTAAATGGTAAAAAAGACGAAGGATATTTCATTAAGGGCCTTTGTGCATTTAATATAGAATTATAGATAAATAGATAGATAGATAGATAGATATGTAAGTTATTATGTATTCTAGAAATTAATCAATTTAGTAGTGTACTTGATTAATCTTCTCTTCTTTTTTTAACGTTTTAATTTAAAATCCTACAAATGATATGGAGATTAGACGTGGTAAAAAGCTATAGTATTGTTTTTCCTTTTGAAACACAAGTCTTTATTGTATTAAAATTACGTCTTCCTACTGCAAATAAAATTGTAATACAATCTAATAGGAAAGATTAACAAATTAATTCTAGTTGATTTTAAAGTTCTAACTTTAGGAAATTTAACATAAATGGTAATTGAATGTTTATTCTTAAATATTAGGAAGGAAACTTAAATTACAATTTTATCTAGTGTAAAGTCGATTTCTAAGGGTAAAAAAGGCGAACGACATTTCGCTAAGGGCCTTCGTTCTTTTAATATAGTACTAGTTTCTATGAACGTGCGTTGCACGTTAATATTAGGACATAATGGTTCAGTCAATTATTTATGTGAAGCAATACCAAGTTTTATTAATGAGATAATTATATGTGTTCAGGAAGAAAAGATCGTGGTAAAGAAATTGGCATAAAAAATACAATAATCAGTTAAATATTGATAATCAATGTTACTATATTATGTTAGCATAATACTTGAACTCAAAATAATTGAACATCTTCTAAACGAGCAAAAGTAATTAATTTAACTAAGGTAGATATATTATTATGTACTTATAATTTAGAAATATACAATATGATCTTTCACAACCATTTATGATGTAGTAGCTTTTGTTTTGTTCTAATATATCTTGCCACTTCATGTTCATCGAGAAGTACCGTCTAGACAAGTTACCAAACAGTAAATACTGACAAGTTAAAAATATAATATAAATGTACAAAAAAATATTATTTCTTCGCCCACAAAAGCTTAATTGCATACGCAAACCTTCACCTCTTGCGTCTTCATATCCTATTAATGATCAACTTCCAATGTCATTCTCAAAACACCTGTAATAACTAAAAAAAAAGCTACGAAATAATATCTAATCAACTTTCTATTATCTATTGAAATTCATTTAATTTAAAGGAAAAATCAAATAATTTTTAATCAAAAGTGGCAACTTGTGCTGGCAATAGCAATAACAAGGAGTTAGAAGATCTAAACGGATAATAACATAGATTAGAAGATCTAACGATTCTATAATATAAACAAAGCTACCAAGATAACCTTTGCAATATTAGGAGATTCAAAATATTTTTTGAAATCGGCTAATCAAATTGAACTATATAAAAGCCAACAAACCTACGCGTCTTGATAAGTTGACCATAATTTCTGGATTAAATAATCTAAACAATCAAGAATAGGCTACCCATAATTTATGAACGTTATTTTTCTCAGTAACATAAAAGAAATATTTACCACGCAATCAGGCCTCTATAAAAAAAACAAAAAGTTAAATACCTCCCGAGAAGTTTGTCGAACTTTCTTTTCTTCTTCTACCAAAGCTAAAAACTAATACGTCTTAAAAAGTTTATGATCTAGCATTTGGAATACGGGCTACTTTTATAGAAGTATTCACTCTTCATTTTTCAGAATCAGATTAAATTGTAAATTTGTTTCAAAAAGAAAAAGGAAAGGATATCAAAGTTATCTAAACCAATATGGTTATTCTCAATTTTATTCATATCTAAAAAGTTGAAATATACCAACTACTTGAAACTTGATAACCCCAACCACTTGGGATTTGCAGCGTGCAATTGTATAGAGTTTGATATAACATAGATTGTAGACTTCACATAAAATATCAGTATTTTCTGAAATCAAAGAACACCTGAATTTTAAGATTTTCGGTAGGTGGCAGCAATTGTCTTTTACCCTCTCGGTTTGGTACATGATGGAAATATTAATCTCACATTACAAGAAAAAGCAGAATTTTCCGTTTAGTTCTGGTTTTGTATTTCCCGTGAATGTGTATTCTCATAAAAGTACCATGTTAAGTTATCAATATTATAGAATGTGATTCTGTAAAGACTAATTTTATTTTATGCAAAGATTAATTTGATCTTATAAGATATCAATATTACAGAATGTGATTCTAACTTGGACTGTCCAAAAACAAAAAAGGATTCGAATAGACTAATGTGTTATGTAGATGAGTTAATCATAGATTTAATTGTACGATTTGTGTACTACTCATTGAAAGCGAGTTCTAATTACTCATTATTTGAGGAAGTTTTTTTATTATTCGCTACTTAAATATAGGAATCAAGTCCCAATAGGAAAAGGTTTACTTGGAGTACTTTCTATCCAATATTACATTTATATCCTTCATTGAATTGCTTTAAGTAAGAAATATTTGAGGGATATTTTTGTCCACCAACATCACTATTCGTGCTTTTATAATAATATAGATATAGATATAGATATAGATATAAATATAAATAGATATAGATAGATATAATAAAATGCACTGGGAGAGACATCCAACAGCTTCACCCAAATGGTGTTATCAAACACCGTTTCGCCAAAATTTAGTTAAATGTTAATATGTAAACGTATTTTTCTAAAACAATTACGTAGACATACGATACATCAACATGGTAAAAACTTATCAGCAGCCACCGTTTACATTAAACAATTAAATGCAAGACAAGTGCCATTATACATTTTTATTACTTAACCATGATTAAATGATATATTTTTTACTTTAATTTTAAATGTTAAGGTTAAACTATTTAGTTTGGTAAAACTACCGAGTGCAGTAAGTATTTACCCATCTATCGACACTGCTTGAAAAAATAGTTCGAACTAAATATTAATCTGGGATAGGATGCTTTTGAGCTCCAAATCCAAATCCATGTACAAGTTGAATTGTGACAATAGTTCGAGATCAATTGTGAAAAATCTTGTGTAAGCCATTAACAATATATTATATATGAATCCATAATTTTAGAAGTCTAATAAGTTACAGTGCTAAGAAGCGTAAATGCCGATTCATCAAGTTTAAATCATGTATCCGTTGGAGTTTATACTACCTGTCCATATTTCATCTGTTTCGCGTAAACTACTTGGGAAGACCAAATGAGAAAGGTTGATTCTGCCACTAACAAGGCAAAGTCCACCAGACAGACTGTCCTTGTGAAGTGAATTCGATACACGCAAAGCTGAACATGGCCAAAGCTTCATAGGCAAATTTCATCCTCATGACGTTCTATTTATTTTATTTTAAAATATTTCCTACGTTCTGAATTTGCTAAGATAGTTCCTACAAGTGCTCCTATATATACCAGTGTATGCGATATAGCTTCCTCGTCCTGATCATACAGAAAGGTAGCAACTAAACACCAAGCCAAGCTGTGTGTATTAAGCAATGCTGGTAAGAATTCAATTTCCTACAATTTCAGTACATATAATTTTTTAAACAGCAATGCTATTTAGTTAAGCTCAGACAATTTTTCATGCAATACTGCAGCAAAAGATTGTCATTAGAGTGAAGCATAATTGCCAGAAATGTCAATCAAAATCCTTGATGATTGCTGCTATGTCAACTGGTATTGCTAATTTCCTATAACATTCACACTAGCCCTGGTTCCATTGATTTCCCACCTTCATTTGCTCTTCGTTTTCTGTAGGAGTCAACTCGGTGGCATTAGAAGGGGAGAAGAAAGATGAAGTGGTGATAATAGGAGAACAAGTAGATGCTGCTGGTATAACCAGCTTGTTGAGGAAGAAGGTCGGCCACGCCAGCTTGGTGCTTGTTGATGAAATCAAGTGAAGAGAAAGTCTGAAAAATGAGCTGCATTAAGAATAAATGTAACCATGGAGTGTAATAAAGAGATATGTTTCTGATGTCATATGTTCATTGTCAACAATATCTTTATTTAAAATTTATGATGAATGATCATTTAGTGTGATACTTTTAGCTTCAAGATCAATTCTATTTACCTATACTTGAACTATTCCAACAAGTTTCAGACAGGACAACTATCAAATAATGCTTTTAGTAAGATAATACTCACATTCAAGAAAAACTATGTAACAGAATCAGGAGTCAGATAAGAGCAGGGTCCATAGTTAATTGCTCAAAGCTCATATGTCTAAGGTATGCAGCCAAATGAGCATCTGAAGCACGAATTTGCGTCAGTCTTTCTTGCATATTCTGGAATGAAGGACTATTCAACACATCTGATATTCTATCACCCAGTGATGGGTCCTCTGAGAAATTGACAAGAGCTTCTGCTGCATTATCTCTCATTTCCTCTGACTCGTCCTGCAACATATCTACTAATCGCGGAATTGCTCCAGAATTTGCAAGAGCAGCTCTATCTGCTTCACTGTAACTCAACTGGGCGATAGCTCCAGAAACCTTCTCCCTCACATCAATGTTTTGGTCTACTAACAGCTGAACCAGAATCGGAATTGCACCTGAATCCCGCACAACAGATGGCAAATGCTTGTAACCTGCGAGATCCCATAGTACATCAGCAGATGCAGCTTTAGCTTCGACACTGTCACCTCTAAGAATTCTAACCAAGTGTTCAATAATAGCTACAGCATTCTCCTCTACCACTGCTAGAATGCAAAATACATCCTCAGCAATCTCCTTACCCATGGGTTCAGTTCCTTGCAGAAGCTCAGCGTACAAAGGAATTGCTCCAGCATTAGCAAGTGGTCTAATGTAATCAACATGAGATGAGATCACACCAAGTGCATTGGCAGCTACGAGTTTGGTGGAAGTATCCCCAACCTGAACTAGTTCTAAAAGCACTGAAAATGTGCCCGAGTCAACAAGCGTGCGCCTTGCTCTCTTAACCAATCCAAGCAACCCAATTGCCTGAGCAGCTCTACATCTAGATACCATGCTGCCACATCTAGCAGATTCAACAAGAAAACCAATGCCCCCTGAAATCAAAATGGTCCTCCTAACCTCTCTCAGAAGAGCCAATGCACTCAAAATTTCTAGCAAGTACCGCTTTAGATCATCCGAGCAGGTATTCAACAAATTGAGAATGATTTGCAGCCCACCATGTGTAGCTACAATCACACAATTATCAGCAGCGAATGTGACAATATTTCTCAGGCATTTCAATAAAGCCCTTCGCAAACTCCCATCAGAATGCGTTAATAAACTCAAAATAGAAGGGATGGCACCTGATTCACCAATAAGTACAGCCAATCTCCCTTCCCCTTGACAAGCAACACTTTTCAAGCACTGAGCAGCAGTTTCCTGAATTGAAGGACTCAGATCAGTGGAAGGGATTCTTCTAAGAAGCTCTACAAGGATCGGAACAGTGCGTGCTAATAGATCCTCAGGCGCGTGTTTTGACAATTTGGCAAGCTTACTTGTAGCTTGGACCCATAAAACCTCATTGTCACATGCGATTGCGTTTAAATAAAGATCAAATGCTCGTTCCCAGTTTATGCAAAGCCTTTCAGTTTTTCTACCTGACTGTGCCATTACAAACTAGAATCTCTTCTATGGTCACTCTGTACACTCTCAGTCTCAGCGCTGTAAACATCAGAGGAAGGAAAGTTAACCTCTAACATACATTACCATTTGTTGAAAGATTATGTTGTAAAAAAAGGCTCGCAAAACGCTACACTTACTAGACATAATTGTTTTGATAAACCTACTTTACCACATATATAGAACCGTAATTTGGGATAGTAATAATTTATGCAAGTTTGCAAAAAGCTCGCACAAATCATATTCAAACACTACTGTTATGCAAACAAATTTCAACAATTTTCATAAAAGATTGTGATCTCAATCAGAATATCAAGAACAGACACATACGGAAGACGAATGAAGTTAGGTTCCTTTACAGCATAGAACCACTGTTGATATCCAAAAGTTAAAAATATGCATGTTGTCTCTCTAGTACAAGTATACTAAAGGGGCAGCCCGGTGCACTAATCTCCCGCTATGTGCGGGGTTCGGGAAGGACCGGACCACAAAGTTGTATTGTACGCAGCCTTACCCTAGTGAATGGAATAATGAAATGAAGAATGCAAAAGTAAAAGTATTCAACCCCTGTCATGGTTATTGTATCATACCATATACTAATAGCCTAATTAGAAAACAAATTTATCTTTTAATTTTATTATAGTGTTATCAGCATCCTTGCTCACGCCTCGACTATCCCACTAGATACCCGCTACCTTCAACAAGTATATATATACCAAAGCTCAAACAGACGAAAAGCAAACCCTTTTCACTAATTAATATGGTTGTCTTTCGATTTCCTTATTTCAAGCGATTGAGGTTAAAATAAAAATAAGAGAATTTAGATACAGTTATATTCTCAGGCGTAGAAGAATAGTAAGCTGGCAAATAGGTGCAAGCATCAAAATCATAAATAAATAAATAACACAATAATTCCAATAAAGAGCTTGCCTTTGGCGATTTGCGTCAAACCTATTACATGTCATGGAGAACCGAGTTGGGAATTTCAGGAGTATGCAAATGGGAAAATGAAAATAAGGACGACAGACGAATGAAAAAGAAGATTGGAAAAGAAAATCCATAAATACGAATTGATGGTTGGGTCTTTGCAGTTTAGACGGACTGTGATTGAAATGGATTAGGCCCATCAAATTTGAAGTGATAGAAAGGTAAGTGCACGGTCAGGCACTAATAATATCTGTATTTACTCTTGAGCTATTATTTAAAATGTCTTTAGTTTTTACCCACTGCTTTAATAAACTTTATCTGCCCGGACGAAAACACCCTTCTGCTCATAAAAGTTAAGGATCAAGTGTCCTTAACTTTTGAACTTGCAACTCTAAGTTCAGGACTTCAGGACTACATGTCCTTAACTTTTGAACTTGGAACTTGAAGTTCAGGACGACATGTCCTTAAGTTCTGTGCTTGTAACTATAAGTTAAGGACTATTTGTCCTTAACTTTTGAACTTGTAAGTCTAAGTTCAAGACTTATTGTCTTTAACTTTTGAGCTTGTTAGTCTAAGTTCAAGACCAAGTGTCCTTAACTTTTGAACTTGTAATTCTAAGTTCAGAACCAAGTGTCCTTAACTTTTGAACTTGGAACTCGAAGTTCAGAACCAAGTGTCCTTAACTTTTGAACTTGGAACTCGAAGTTCAGAACCAAGTATCCTTAATTTTTAAACTTGTAACTGTAAGTTCAGGATCCATAACGTAGCAGAAAACCAAACGTTCTATAGCATAAGCTTTAAGTCCATCAACGAATAATAAACATTTCATAAGAGAAATAATAAGTTTGCAAGAGCTAACAAAATTGTGTATTTCAAGTAAAATATACATATGTAGCAAAATTTGCAGAGAAGTTTGCATGACTAGTTTGAGTGCATTTTTTTGCCCAGATATGGAGTACACCTTAGGGACTGTACTTTTCTGAATTTCTATCATATACTATGCACTTTACATTTGGGTGACAAGCTGTAATGGTTTGAGCGTTTGACAGATTTTTGTGAGATTCGTTGCTGGTGAATACTGCATAGTGTAATATGCATTACATTCTATCTGAAGAAAGGGTGTCGTCGTTCATAGTTTTTCTCCCTAACATGAAAGAGATAGAAGAAAGGGTAACACAGTCTTTTCATATTAATTTTAATAGACTAGTGGCTACTATTGCTAAGCATTAAAAATGCTGGATTAAAAGTAAATACCACTTTAAAAAGTGACTATCCCACACAATTTTTACTGATAAAAAGTGACCGTGGAGGTCAAATGGGGCGAAGTGCATAGGTAACCACTTTTAGGATCTCTATTTAAAATACAACAAAAATTTACACTCTTTAAAATTTAGTCATTTTTGTTAGGAATCAAGCATCAGACCTATGTTTTGAAGTTTGATGTCATGTCCTTAGTCTTGAACTAAGCGCACATGCGGCACTTGACAAGTTGCTTACGAACTTGCATAACTCGGTCATGATCTTGCTTTGCCAAGTCAACATAAAATACTACACTCAAGATCGCTAAAGGGATGTTAGATAAGAAAGACAAGAGAAATTTGCCAAATGAAGCTTTTTATTGTAGAGAACTTAATTTTTTTGCTTGGTGATTTACAAATAAATGCCCCCTATTTATACTTGTCACCTAGGGGCTAGTGTGTAAATAAAAATTGTTCCACAAGTCCTTCCATATTTATAAATAAGTACACCCTCTAAAAGTTTCTACATGACTAGAATATTTCAAGGCTTTCCAAAAGAGTCTTCTCAAGGAAACTCTCCATAGTTCTAGAATATTCAACTAAGAGTCAGTCTCTAACTTATGTAACCCTTACACATGGCAAGTATATGTGCCAAATGGATCCTATGTGGCATGCTGACATGGTGGGTCATCACACTCTCCCCACCCAATTGTGTGCCGCCCTCAGCACAAAACATCGATACATATATACGCACCTCGCCTTGCCGTCGTCGGAGATCTTTGTCCATTAGCCATGATGCCATATGGAGCGATTCACCTTTCTATGTCACAAGGTACTGGTCACCTTTTTCTTGCCCCATTTGTACTTTAAACGGCTAGCAAATGATGGCCTCGATCCTCTGTCCATCGGATGCCTCTCCTCGCTCTTAGACTGAATCTCCCCATGACTCGACCAAGTCTAGCAGCTTCTTAAGCATCGGGTTCTTTCTTCCACTCCCTATTTGGTTGCGCTCCGTGGTCCCAGCCTTGTTAGTAAACTTGACCCCTCTGTTGGGTGCATCGTCTATGTCCGATAGTGTGCCATCGCTTTGTAACTTGTCATTCTCTTCAACTATGTTCGCACCACTTTTCTTGTTGCCACCATGCTCCATTTTTATGGTGCCAAGATAGGTATTGGAATCCCCTAATTTCGGCTTAGATTCCAAGAGCATCCCCCCAGAGTATGCGACCTTCCTATATCACCCTTGTGTGCCTGAGCAAATTTTATGATCATTGATGCAAGCTTCCCTAACTCTAGGCATTCACTTGTCCAATGTGATCCTTTACATAAGTAGCACCCTTCCTTATGCACGCACTCGCTACCTTTTTTCGATCTCTTGTCATTTCTCTTGGACACTTGGCCGTTATGTGATGGACCCTTGCCATTTACCTCATATACTTTGTTTATGCCTTTTCCTTTGTCCTTGTTATGATCTCCCCCACCCCTTTCGGTGTTTCCTTCTTTGGACTTGGCAAGCTCCATCTTGAAGTCAATGAGCGACTCGGCTACCGCTATGGCCTCATATATATTGGCTACTTGATGTCTTCTTAACTCCTGCTTTTCCCAGTTTTGCAACCCATCCATGAAGTAGAAGAAGAAATCTTCCTTGAACTACAACAGGATTTGTAGCATTAAGGTAGTGAACTCGTGTACATACTCCCGAATTGCGATCGTCTGTCGGAGCTCCCTTAGCTTCCACCTGGCCTCCTACACCACATTCATCGGGTAGAATTGCCTCTTCAACTCCTTCTTAAACTGATCCCACATCTCAATCATGCATAGCCCATTCTCCATGCCAGCATACTCTCAATTCTACCATAACACAACAATCTCTGAGAGATACAATACAACAGTGTTAATCTTAGCCTCATCGTCCCTCACTTTCTCATGCTTGAAGTAGTTATCCATGTGCCAAATAAAGTTTTCCACTTCTTGTGCATCACAAACACCTTTCAACATCGGCAGCTTGGGAGCCTCGATCTTAGCCTCCCTCGTCACGACAACATTGATGGCTGCCTCGTTCATGCCTGCGTCGGAATGCTCCTTGAGTGAATTTATCTTTGCCTTCATGGCATAGATAGTGCTCAATTCCTCCATGAGTTTTCACTGCAAGGTAGTGATAGTTTGCCTTAACTCCATCTCAGCCTGCGTACGTCCCTCCAAGTCATTTCGGATACTCTCAATCTCCTCAAGAGTATGCCCTTCAAGAACGCTAAGGGTGTATTTTACCTTCCCCAAGCATTGGCCAAAGATCCCCATGGCGTCCATTCGCGTGTTCACCTTTAATAACCACTTTTTATTGAGCGAAACACCCTCGGGAAGGACCTTCACTTCATCCTCGCTTAGGACGTGAGCCCTTTATTTGACACAACCTCGGGCGACACTTCCTGGATATTGTTGGTAGCATTCCTTTCTTTTTTGGCTCTTCTTGCCAGCAACATCTTGGATGACATTGGCTTGGGTGTTGGCGGTGTTAATTTCCCTGTTGTTCATCATTCCCTTAGTTACAACTTGGCTTTAATACCACATTGTCACATCCTTAGTCATGAACTCATCGCACGTGCGACACATGACAACTTGTTCATGAACTTGCACAACTCGGTCACGATCTTGCTAGGCCAAGTCAGCCTAAAATACTGTACTCAAGATCGCTAAGGGAATATCAGATAATAAAGACAAGAGAAATTTGTCAAATGAAGCTTTTTATTATAGAGAACTTGATTGTTTTTCTTGGTGATTTATAAATGAATGGGCCTTATTTATACTAGTCACCTAGGGGCTAGTCTATAAATAATAATTGTTTCACAAGTCTTTCCATATTTATGAATAAGTACACCCTCTAGAATTTTCTATATGACTAGAATATTCCAAGACTTTCCAAAAGAGTCTTCCTACCAAATCATAAGTATCTAGAATATTCCACTAAGATCTAGTCTCTAACCTATGTAACCCTTACACATGGCAAGTATATATTCCAAATGGATCCTCTGTGACATGATGACATGATGGGTCATCATATTGAACTCTAAAATTAAAATCAAGTGTGAAGTTTAATTTTTATAGTTCAAGCTTCAAAATCGAGGACTTGAAGTTAGGTTGTGGTAGTTTAAAATTTCAAATCTTAAACTTTCGCCAAAAGACCTGACAACCACCCTCAGCTCTTTTTTAAAAATTATCGAACATGATGAGTTATTGACATGGGGCTTCTTTACTTTTCAAGCTGAGTAAAAATTTCATAAGAGAAGAAAAGTTCACAGAAGGTTCTTCAATAGTATGCTCGGTTCACGAGGTTCTACCACTACAGGGCCCAGTTTCCATTCTCTCATTACTCAAGTCGTCCAAGGACAGGACCCCCGTACCGGGATGGGCGAAGGGGAAGGCAAAGATGGGTGTTCCAGGAACAACAACGAGAGAGGGCTTGTAGCCCTTGTCTCACTCTTCCCCACGCCTATTTGTTCACCTGAAAAACTCAGCTTTTCGGAGCAAACCAATCTTCCATGCGGCACCCTACTCTCTTTATATAAAAAAGCCTATGGGAAGCACGAAGAGCTAAGCCACTAATGTTGCGGAGAAGGTTAGATCTTATAAAGTTAGCGAAGATAAGGTTTTATATGTGTTATATCCTTTCGATCGAGCGAAAAATGTATCAGACTGCAAATCCTTGAATGACGGTTCGACCCCGTCCTTGGCCTCGAGGAGTCGTGAGCAGCACAGAACTTGTTTCAATCAAATGACATAGTATTAGGGTAGGAAGCTTTCCTTTGTTATATAAATCCACTGACAACATTCTGGAACTTCCAAACCAAAGAAATGGAAGATGAGAAGGAGCTTTTTACATTGACTAGCGCCCGACAAAGGAATGATTTTTTCCCA